ACCACCTCCGCCCAGTTCTCGGGCGTGGGGGAAACCGGGGGGTTGTCCTGGACGGGGTTGAAAATCAGCTGCGGGTCGAGGTCTGGGGCCGCCGGGCGCGTTCTCGGGCCGCCCCGGGGGTCATCCGAGAGCTCCTCAATGCGGACTTTGATGCCATTGCCCACACAGAGCGAGCGCTCCGGCTGCTTTAGAATGTCCTCCACGCGGATAGGGTGGGCGCAAAGGGGGTGACCATCCGAGTCGACCAACTCAATTTGAACATCGTCGTGGACTTGTATTGTATGTTCCTCCATATGACTAATAATGGGTTAGAATAAACTGGAGCCTTGGGAGCTTTACGACGAATGAGAGAAAAGGGGCTTTGGTTTGCTATTTATTAATTTCTTTCCTTTTCACTCAGCGAATAAATAAATAAATAAAGGAAACCCAATGGTAGGAAAAAAAAAATGAAAGGTAGCTGGAAAAAACATTACAAACTGTGAAGCGTTATATATATATTTTCTGTTTTTAGTATCCTATCATGATGAACATGCATCGACATTTTCTACATTTCTTTTTTTAGCGCAAATTTCCAACAGAAACGTATTTGATCGTTGCCTACTCCATGATATTGTCTCATTACACACCCTGTGTAAGTGTTCCTCCTTGACTTTATTTTGGATTCGTCAGGTGGTTTTCGCCTTCCCCTCTCCCCTCTGCGCCGCGAGCTTCTTCAGCGCCAACGCGGCCTCCCCATTACTGATTTCGGCAGAGCAGAAAAATAATTCACTCGTCTGGAGAAGCCATTCCGGCTCTACCGGGGAGGCGACGCGGACAAACATACCGTCCTCGCCGTGGACCTCCAGTCGGTCGTACATAATCCACGCCGGGCGCATTTGGCTTTTACTACTCAACATCGACTGGCGGTGGGTTTGAATCGTCAGCCCATCACGCACTGTGCGATAGGCGGTCGCGTGAGGGGGCAGGTAGGCGATGTTCGTAAAAAAGCCTTCCAAAATCGCCCGGCGGAGGGCGACCGTGTTGACGGTCTGCGTCCCCTCATCGTAGGTCGAGCAGACCGAAATCCGGCTCCGTGCCATAAAATCGCGGAGTTGTTGATAAATCTGCATGGCGCGCTGGAGGGCGGAATGGCGTAGGGCGTGGCGTCGGCAAAACCCCGCGGCCTCGGAGGACTGCCGGCGGTAGGCGTGGAAGATCCCAAAGAGCGTGGCGTGGTCGCCGTCGGGGTGGGCGAAAGGGCCGCGAGGGTCGTCCGCCGCGGGGGCGCGAAGGAAAATATTCCCCGCCTCGAGCATCGCGGCCACGACGGCGACGTCGGCGGCGCAGCCGTGGGCCTCCGCCTTCAACAACATCCGCGAAAACCAGGCGTCAACCGGGAAGGCCGCCATGCGGGCGCCGAACGGGGTCAGCCCCAGCCCCTCATCCACGGCCTCGAAGAAAAGCAGCTGATAAAAGGCGTCCCCCAGGGCGTCCTGGGATGGGGCGTCGAGAAAAGGAAACTCGCACACGTTCCCCACCCCGAGCTGAAGCAGCAGCAGGACGGTGTTGACAATATCTGTGCGCCGCATCTCCGGGTGGGTTTGCGGGGGAAACCCGGCAAAATCGGCGGCGGTATATAACCGATAACACTTCCCGGGGCGGGTTCGCCCGGCCCGGCCCATCCGCTGGGCCGCCGAAGCTTGACTAATCACGGCCGGGACCAAATACGCCACCCGGGCCTGCGCGTTGTAGAGGCTCTGCCGTTGATAACCGCTGTCCACGACGTACACCACCCCGTCGATCGTGACGGACGTCTCCGCGAGGTTCGTGGCGAAGACGATTTTGCGCGCCCCCGCAGGGGTCGGCCCGAAGACGCGTTGCTGCTCCGGGAGATTTTGCGAGCCAAAAAGCGGCCACACCACCGCCGCCATCGGCGAGGAGGATTCACGGTGTACGATTTCCCCCGATTCCGGCCTAAGCGCCGCCCGCGTCGCGGCCACGGCGCGCTCGATCTCGGCCTCGCTTGTCAAAAAACACAAAATATCCCCCGCCGGTTCGTCCTGGTGAATCTGACAGACGCACCGCACCGCCTCCGCGACGTAGTCCTTGATTGCCGTTGGGAGGTAAGACACCTCCACGGCGAAGCGGCGCCCGCGCACTTCCACCAGGGCGGAGTCGGGAAAAAAGCCCCGAATCGTCGTGATATCCAGCGTGGCGGACATCACCACCGCACGAAACCCCGGACGCCGCTTCAAGAGCCGCTTCAAAAGCCCCAGAACGACATCGGTGTCGACCGTGCGCTCGTGGGCCTCGTCGACGACGATCACGCTATAGCGCGCGAGATCGCGATCGGCCGCGGTCTCGCGGAGCAGCATCCCATCCGTGAGGTATAAAACTTTGGTTCGGCCCGACTTTTGGGATTGAAAGCGAACGTTAAAGCCGACTTCCTCGCCCAAAACCACATCCATCTCCTCGGCGACGCGCGTGGCGACGGCGATGGCGGCAATCCGTCGCGGCTGCGTGCAGCCGATCATCCCGGGAAAGCTGACCTGCATCTCGGCCAAGAAGTGCGGAACCTGGGTCGTCTTCCCGCTCCCGGTTTCGCCGATCAGAAGGGTGACTTGGTTGGCAAGGACGGTTTTCTGGATGAGCGCCTTCTGCGCAAACACCGGGTTCCGCTCTCGAGCCGCCAGCAGGGTGTAGTAGGATGCGCTGTAGGGGCGCCCTGTAAACGGGTTCGTGGCCCCAACCGCAGGGGAGGCCGGTGCGGGACCCGGCGTGAGGCTGGCACCGACCGGGGCGTCCGACAGACGTGCGAACTTGCACGCGGGCAAAGACTCAGGCGCGTCGATCGGCGGCCGCTTTCCGTTAATCGAACCATCGTCGCGATGCATGAAGGACAGAACCCGTTTCCGTCCCCACGCAGCGTGGGCGTGTTGGATATCGCACAAAAGGTCGGAGGCGACAAACGAGGAGATGATGTCAAACTATGTGACGGATAGTATCTAGTTTTTTCACGCTTAGATAGGGGATGGTATTCGAATTAGTAAAGAGATTTGACATTAAACCCCAACATCTTGAGGTGGAGAGTGATTACATGGAAATAGATCGGCATTTAAAAGAAAGTTAAAAATCAATCTAGAGATTTTTTTTTAGATAAAGATAATAGAAAAAGACGTAAATAAGAAACATAGATCAGCAATAACTATAAAATTCAGGTAGATTTCCAAAATCATATTTATAAACAATTAGATATGTTATATATAAGATAGTGGAGTAATTAGGCCTAAAATGGAACATATATATAAATAAATAAATAAATATATCTATATATATATATATATAAAGAAAGAAAAAATCAACATTGATCAACCATCTTTAAAATATTTTTGAATAATCGAATCTGAAATAATAGCTAGGTATACAAAGAAGATCCATGTTCTTCAATATGTATAATATATGTCCACATTATCCAAGCTTGACTTACTTAGAATTTATAGATTAATAATCCTCTTTAATGATTGTTATATTACAGTGAGGTCATAAAATAAATTCAAGCAGAACTCACAGATTAATATTCGCTGTTTTGTTCATATATCTTTCGTATTAGTTTCGCTATCTTACTTGATGCGTACAATGGCTTATATCTTCGAAACTGTAGTATAAATGAAATCCATCCAGAGGGAAAAAATACACATGGAGGGTAATAAAACAAATATAGTATATTTTGTTAACTATAATAATAATAAACGTCTGTTTCAATACAAAAATAAAGTAATGTTTTTCAGCCCAGATAAGGGTATTTTTTTCGCTTTTGACCTTTTATTACTTAAAAGTACTTATCAAAAATGGTTGAGGAGGGAATGATCAAAAGGTATATTTTTGTTAATTTAGCATAACCATCTTCTATAGATTCTATAGTAATAAAGAGGGCAAATCATCCATAGAGTTTTGTTTATTTCTTACCCATCCTCCTTTGACTCTTCCTATACACACCCACGACAGAAGTATTGCCTTAAAGACCTTACGCGGTATCTTTGAACCGTAAATCAGCGGAAGCACTCACAAAAACTGCATCTCAGATCGTCACTGCTCTACATTAACTGACGCTATCTCACAAATCCTCATCCTTAGCTTTTATATAAAGGGTCTATTCTTCTATCTTTAGCGTCCCAGCTTCCCCCTCCCTCCCCATTTCCTTACCCCTTTCGTATGCTTATAATACTGCTATCTGCACTATTTTAGGGTGACCTTCGCCCGGTTAATTTTCTGCGGAATGTGTAAGGGATGAACCTTATCTTCCTCTCTCAGTATGAGTGGGTTTTGGGAAGTAATATTGGAATTTCCCATAGGAACAACCGTCTCATTTTCATTTGCACGCTCAACGTTGTAGCTAAGTATTTTCACGAGATTTGTCTTCCGATCGCGAGGGTCCATCATGGCGTGTTGCTTGAGGGGTAAGAATAAGTATGGGAGAGTGATATCGATGGCATTCTTCAGATCATCATACAGCCTCATGTTTTTAAGGGCTTTCAAATTGGGAAATTTACTCGAATCAACCCTCTTTAAAAACAACTTCACATCATTACAACTGGGAAAGTCGTCTCTGCAGAGGGAATTTTCCAACGCAATACTTTCAATCATCGCGTTATAATTGCCAAAAAACGATTTCTTAGCCTTGTCTTTTCCAATAAGTGACGGGATACATGATCGGTAGGATGCGCATATTGTGGCAAAAATCAAAACATCGCGTGCACGCCGAAGCATAGACGTGACTCGTGTGTCTATTGCTTGCATAGGTACTTTTTCAAAT